TTTATGGCAATTGCTATTTTCTTTCTATATTTAATTGTCATGTGTTACCTATACTGAGTCTAGATAGACACTGGGCCTGAGAAGAAGTTGATTGTGATAAAAACCACCCTTTAAGTCACTGCCTTACAGTGATCTCAGCATTAAGATTGGGGTGTTTTTTTTTGCTAAGAAATTTGTGTTTTTTAATATATGCATTAGTATGTATATATGTATATGAGTGTGTATGTGTATCTATCTAGCTGGTAAGTAAAACCAGTAATTGAGGAAAGGGGAATGATCATTAAGTGTGAAGCAGAATTACTTTTATTCTTTCGCTACTAATTTGGATCTGAAACTTTTTTGACCTTTGTATAGTTATTTTTTTTTCTGGGATTCAACAAATGTGTATGTAATAGCATCCCAAAACATCCCAAATATGCTAGATATTATCACTGGTGAGCATTTGAGTTAAAGTAGGACACAGTTGACCCTTGACCAACATGGTTGGAATATGTGTGGATTCTTTTCTCTTCCCTGTATAAGTGGACCTGCACAGTTCCAACCCATAGTGTTCAAGGGTATATTGTAATCACTTCCCTTAACTTTTTGTTCTCATTTACCCAACTGCATCATTTGCTAAAGGTCTTGTAAGTGGATAGAAGTATTTACTATATTTTGTTTTGTCTGTGTTCCTCTCTGAGTAGAAATTCCAACAGGTTTGTTTTGATAAAGTGCTGTACTTTAGCTCAACATATATTTTTAAAATTAAGCAATTTTATAGCAGGCTGTATAGTTTTCTTTCAGTTAAAAAATTATAATGTTATTTTACAATAGCTAGAGTGGTCAGTAAGTAAAGCTTTGCAGCTTTAGAATTAGCATAGCTTATGTACAGTATTACGTTTTCTTTACTTCAGCCTGAATACAGAGCCTACAAAAATTGCTTCTCTTGGGTAAACGGAATTGTAAAAAGTTTAGAAGTTATTTCATTTTAATAAATATCGAAGTTAGAAATAGGCTCTATGGGGTCTTTGGGATTGATTTAAATAATTATACTATTTTGAAAATCAGTTTGCCCCTGCCTCATTTGTGAAAGGCGGGGCTGCCTATGACAGGGCTGAGCTCCTGGGACACTTACTTGTGCGGGAACGGTCTGGTTTGGTGGTACTTGAGCTACTTTATAGAGAAATACTACCATCCAGTGTGCACACTCCTCCGTTGCCTTTCCTCTTCTCTCTTCCTTACTATCTCTGCTGTCTCTTCTCTGCCTGTCCATCCCCAATGTGCCGCTGTTCATCACTTCCTCCAAAGCCACCGCCATCCTATTCTATTTTTCTTAAAAATAAAATAAAACACCACAATTATTAGTTTTTAAACTGAGAGCTGTTACCAAGACCGTAAGGCTTTAATAGTTTGTGTACCTCCTCATTTTGGGCCCTCGGCCAGGAACTGGATAATGGGTAGCTTAAAATCACTTGTGAAGTAACTGAGTGTGAAACATTGTATAGCTGGACTAAGGGAGAGAATAGAAGAAGACCTTTTTACCTCTGAAGTTGCTGTATGTCTGATAGTTGGGGAGGTAGGGGCATAGTGTGGGAAGGAGCAGCCTTGTTTACTGACCTAAGATAAGGGAAATAGGAAGCATTAATGTATTCGATTGCCCTCTGTAGTCCTGTGGATTTATCGGAAAAGAAATTGGAAATGTTGATGTTGCTAATTCTGAAATTATTTTGATTTAGTAATTGAGAGGGCTAATATAATTTCTTTTAGTTTGTAAAATACAAAATATGACTACGATGCCTAGTTATTATGTGTTGATTGTTTACATTTCATTAGTTCGTAGTTGCAAAATGGCAGCCCCTTTACAGATTTCTCCTAGTGGTTTTGAATTGTTAGCTGAATTGTTTTGGTAAAAAAAGTAAAACTTTGAAATTAGCTGTAGTTACATGTTAAGTTAGTGGCTATGTTGGATTTAAATTTAGTAGCTTCTAAAGATCTATACCAGGCATTTCATTCATTATTTAATTTTATACATAGAGACAACAGCCTTAACTTAATCTGTAGGATTTTTAAAATTTATTTTTTTGAAAATGTAAAAACATACACAGAAGTAGAGTGAATAATATTAACAGACCCCACCTGTTTGTTACCCAAGTCCAGCAATTATTAGCATTCTGCCAGTCTTACAGTGTGTAAAATATACAAGTTACATAACTTTATTTTTAAAATACGCAATACAAATAGATACATTGATGTACTCAAAGTAAAGTTTGTGTGAGAATGTTAACTCTTTTCATACATTGTAAATTTAATACTGTTAGTCACCTTTTGGTGGGGGGATAAAACAGGTTTTATCACAGCATTACCAAAGGCTAAATGTGTCAGACTGAACCCTGTTAGTCCCCATAATTGGAGGCCCCCAAACAGATCTGCTCCATTTTCCCTAATGTGGAGAAATTTAAAAGATTGTAAGGAAACTCTTACAATGAGAACCATGGCCAGCAGTTACTTGGGGCAATAGTCAGATTGTTTTTTTAGTCGCCTTTTAGGATAACAGTGAATTCATTTGTCTTTTAACTTATTAAAGATGTCTGAGCCACCACTAACTTAATGGAGAACCACATCTGCTATAAAGATTTTAGTTTTCTTGCTGAAACCGGTTTGGCTCAGTGGATAGAGCCTTGGCCTGCCGACTGAAAGGTCCCGGGTTCGATTCCGGTCAAGGGCATGTACCTTGGTTGTGGGCACATCCCCAGTAGGAGATGTGCAGGAGGCAGCTGATCGATGTTTCTCTCTCATCGATGTTTCTGACTCTCTATCTCTCTCCCTTCCTCTCTGTAAAAAATCAATAAAATATATTTTAAAAAAAGATTTTAGTTTTCTTACCTTTTACAAATCACATTTTATTTTATATACACTTGCCTATCCGCAACTTTTTATGGGCCACCAATAATGGTCATTTCTAGAATATCTAGGGCAGTATTTGAGTCAACTTGAAGTTGGAAATTACTAAATCTTGTTCTGCACTCTCTCCTTCTCCATGTTCTATTTCAGCTGAGCGTATGTATTGATTGATGAAGGAATACATGTTACAACTCATGAATAGTTTGTTAAGGAGTGAATTTTGATTACTTGCTACCTCTGGACCTAGTAACAGTGATTAGGAACTTAATTATTTGCTCTCTCGTTTGCTCCTCTTTGGAAGAGTATTAAGTTGTCTGTGTGCCTGCAGTTGTGGGGTCTGTTCATTACTAGTCACTACAAGGTGATGGTAGCCTTAGTTTTGAATTTCCTTGCTTTTATTAGTTTAAATTAAACCCATGGGGTAATTATTCTACCCTAGTGCATGGGGAAGCGTAGTCTTTGGGAGCTGTGTCTGGGAGCTGTGCATCTAAACCTATGTGTACTGCATTGAAAAGGTATCTTTAACATTATGATGCTCTTTGGCATGTTTAGTTTACTGCAAGGAGTGTACTTATTTAATAGGACCCTTAATAAGCTCCCTCTACACCAGAAAAATATTTTAAAACTTACACTTAAGACAACTTCGTAGTATTCCCCAATAGAGTGCATGTAAAGCAGCTAGCCCTTTCTAAAATAAAACTTATTCCTTTAACCGGTATTCATTTAAGTGGGTTTCTCTGTACTTCGTTTCCATGGAAATAGCGAACAGCTAACGTTATTTATAAGGTGGAAGTAAAATAGGGTGCCTAATGGGACCCCATGCTGCTCTGATGAAGAGACTTAGGAAAAAAATCCATGCTCATGGGATTTTTTTTTAAACAAGGTTAATGGAAGCCCTGATTTCAGTCTTCTGTAACAGAACATATTTTTGGTTTTAAAGGCTAGCATTAATATCAAGCAAACTCTCTTTTTGGCCTGTATTGCTTTCACTTTCAAGTTTTAGGACTGCTTACTTACCAGCCTGATTGAGGCTTTATGCTTCAGACGCCTCTGTTTCTTTGTGGGTTTTGTTTAAAAAGTTAAAAATCCCCAGCATATTGTAGCTGTTTCAGTTTCTCATTGACATTTCAAAGTACAGATAAAAAGCTAAATGTTCATTAACGATAGCAGTGGTGATAAAGAATCAATATGTTGGACTACATAGATTTTTTTTTTTTTAATGTGAACGTTAAGGAACCATTTTTAGTTTTCAGGCCTTCTCAGGTTCTTTCTTATTTGTGTTGTGGAGCTAAATCTGTGTACTAAGAGAGAAAAGATCCTAATTTTCTTTTGGTGATAGAAACGGGGGAAATCTTAAGTTCTCTTTTATTTATTTTAGATAATGGATTGTTTCCAAAGCCTTTTAATTGAAATAAATGTTAATTCTTTTAGTCTTTGTGGATTTGGGATAAACCTTGGCTTTTTCCTCACTTCTTCGGTAAGGCCTACTCTTAGTTTTCTAGGCCCACCACAAAGCCTTGCATTTCGTAAGCCCCTTCCAAGTGAAAGAATATCATTCCCTTTGTGTTTGTGATTGGGGTGTGTGTGTGTGTGTGTGTGTGTGTGTGTGTGACTAATTTTTCTATAGCCTGAAAGGCACCTGCTCATTTTCCAGCCTGGTGAGTACAGCAGTGCTATATTGAGAAGGGAGGCAGTATGGAACACAATAAGGTGCTATAATTTTTATTTAGTTAGTTTTGGTTGTCCTTGGCAGCTTGTGATCATTATCCGTTTGTCTGGAAGTACTCTGTGATTATTCCTGGCTATCAGTGCAGCAGGAGTTTTAAAAGCAAGGATTGTAGTGTACTTAGGGCTCCACCAGGGGAAGAGTTTTTGTTTCGTTATTTTGTGTGTGTGTGTGTGTGTGTGTGTGTGTGTGTGTTTCTTTGGACAAGGTTCTGGCTACTGTGGGTTTACTGTGCTCTAATTTTAAAAATTTGGTGTTTTAATTTTGTTGTGAGAGGTATTTTATGTCCAGCAGTTCACTAGTTTCTTCTGTGCATATTAGTGCAATTTTATAAAATTGTCTTAAAGTGTTAATCATTCCTTTAGTTTAGCTTTTTCTTGTATTTTTTAAATCAGGTGTTTACCCGTGACCTTCCTTAGTGACTTATTGGAATTATCTCTGTGCTTTAGAGACGTAGGAATTTGGGTCTCTTATCCCATTTCTAAGAGAACAACTCCCAGTAGTTGCAGTTAGTGCAATAGAAAGGGCTTCCACAGATGCAGAGCTGGGCATGGATCCTCCTCCTTGGTGTTTATGCTTTACACCCAAAACTCATTAGTGTTAATCGGAGGCACTCACGTAAGTCCCTGTACACCAAGATAGACCCACACTCCAGTAATGCCTTACAGATACCCAAGTTATTGTTTTTTGTTGTTGATGACAAGAGTTTTGGTTCTGAGGTTAACTTATTATTAAGATAAGAGTTTGAGTTGTCTTGGGATATGGGGTGATTTACTAAATCTGACCTGTAATTAAGTTTATGTTATGATTAGACTCAGAAAACATTTATAGCTTTGTGAGCTATGGATGTTTGTGAATAGGGTTTTTGTACTTGATAGCATGATGAAAGCAAGATTTCTTCTTCTTGTTCTTTCTTCCTAATATACCTCACTTACAAAAATAAATGATTTTACAAGTTTTTGTACATATTGTAAGAGGACTTAGTAAAACAATTTTTTATTTGTGAGCCTTTCTACAATTACTCTCCGGCCTCTTAAGTCTTTTGTCAGTTAATGTTGCTCACATTTTTCAAGCATGTGGAAGCTAATAATGTGCACTGTCTTAGAGCTTGGAAAATGCAATTATTGGTCAAGTATTAGATAATCACTGTTTACTACACTTATCTGTGAATTGTGGATTTTTATTACTTTCGTTTATTTATTCACAGAATAAGAGTTTAGTGGGAAGACTTCTAGATTGAGAGCAGTAAATCTCGGTGTTAGGTTGGGCTTTGCCTCTTATTATATGTGTAGCTTTTGGCTAGTCATCTAGACTTCTTGAACCATTCTTCCCCTGTGAAATGATGATATGGATCTGGTACACTGGGTGTCCTCCCTAGCTTTAGGCTATTTGAGAGCCTTCTTTCCTAGTTACTAAAGGAAATAGAGGACTGTAAGGCTGTAGTTCCGCATCTTGTCTACATATTATAAACTTTTGGTTGAACTTAAAAACACACACACAGATATCTGGGCTTCAAATCAGACATAATAAAATTCAGAATCTTAAGGATAGGGCCTGGTGAATCTATTTTTTTAAGTTTTAGATTTATCCTGATCTAGGTTTGAGAACTACTTGTACAAAGCATTATTTCTAGTTGTGTGTGTATGTGTGTGTATGTGGGTGTGTGTGTGCGTGTGTGTGTAATTCAGGTAAGGTGATAAGGCATATAAGTTACATTGTGAAACGTGAGACAGTATATGATTAAATTCTAAGATGAATGAGAAAGATGATAAATATCTCAAGAATTCAAAGAAAGGGAGAACTAGGAGGTGGGATGGTTCGGGAAGGTCTCCATTGGTCAGAGTGTTTATCTGGGCTCAGGTGGCTGGGTGAGATTGGATAGGCTGAGAGAAAGTAAAAGAGTATATTCTTGGTATAGGAAAGATCATCCTCAAAGTTTGAGTTTGGGGAGGGAAAACTATTCTGATGACAGTTTTAGTCTTTATTTTAGTTTTCTAATCTTGCAGCTGCTGTAGGTTTTCCTAAGATTTTGAGGGAGTGAGCCATGAAGGTATTTGGTGGAAGAGAGTGTTCCAGCAAGAGGGAAAAACAAGTGGAAAACCCCCGAGAAGGAAACTCATCTAGAGTTTTTGAAGTACAGAAAAGAGGCCAGAGTGGCTGCAGCTGATTGAGCAATGGAAAGAGGGAAGGAGATGAGGTCTGAGAGTGGCAGAGTTCCAAATCGCCTAAAGCTTTGTGGGCCATTGTAAGGACTTGACCATTTTCTCTGAGTATGATGGGAAGGCACTGGAGGATTTTGACCCCAGGAGTAACTAAATCTGTCTTGGATTTTGAAAAGGTCGTTCTGACTGCTGAGAGAATAGACAGTAGTGGGACAAAGATGGAAGAGGGGTGGCCAGTTAGGAGGCAATTGAATAATCTAGGGGAAAGATGATGGTGTCTTGGACCAAGGAGGTGGTAGTGGTATTCACAGTCTATATATTTTGAAGGTAGAGACAAGATGGTTAGCTCTTGAATTAGATGTAGGGTGTGGGAAAAGGGGGGAGTCAATGATAAATTTAAAGTTTTGGCCCAGAGGGATAGAGTTGTCATTTATTGTGATGAGGATGATTCTGAGGGGGAGGTTGGGGGATAAGTAGCCAAGAGTTTAGTTTTGGCAAGTGTTTAGTGGGCATTTGGTATATGAGTTTGGAATTCAAGGAAAGGTCTGGGCTGGAGATAAAAATGTGTCCGTCACCAGTACACATATCCTTTTATAGCCACAAGACTGAGTGCGATTACCTAATGGGAAGAGTTTCAAGAACTGAACCCTGGGGCAGTTCAACATTTTGAGGTTTTAAGATATGAGAAGAGACCAGCAAAAGAAACCCAGAAGACTGGTCAGAGAGATTAGGAGGAAAATCAAGAGCAAGTAGTGCCCTAACCGGTTTGGCTCAGTGGATAGAATGTTGGCCTGCGCACTGAAGGGTCCCACGTTCAATTCCGGTCAAGGGCATGTACCTTGGTTGCGGGCACATCCCCAGTAGGAGGTGTGCAGGAGGCAGCTGATCAATGTTTCTCTCTCATCGATGTTTCTAACTGTCTATCCCTCTCCCTTCTTCTCTGTAAAAAATCAATAAAATATATATATATATAAAGAGTGAGTAGTGATCTAGGAATCAAGAGAAGAAAAGGTTTCAAGAAGTTAGGAATTATCAACTGGGTTAAATAATACTGATTGAACAAGAGGTGAGGGCTGAGACTTTACTGTATTTAGCAACTGAGAGGTCATTGGTGCCCTCAGCAAGAAGGGAAGAAGGCAAAAGGCCTATCTGAGTGGGTTCAACAGAGAACCAGGAGACAACAGTGAGTGTGGTTAACACTTGAGGATGTTTTGCTATAAATGGGAGTATAGTCATGGGACAATAACTAGAGATGGAGTAAAGGAAGGCTTTTTACATAAAGAAATTAAAGATAGAAGAAACAAAATGACCCCGTAATGAGGGGGAAAAATGATGCTTAAGAGTAAGGGGGGAATGAGAGAGGAATGTCCACGAGAGAGTAAGAGAGATGGGGGCAAGAGAGATGATTATGATATTGGGGCCTAAAGGACTAAATCCCATTAGGCAGGATTCTGCTTTTTCTTCTGAGCACTTATTTGCATTTACATTTATTTCAAATTTAATATGCTTTCTGTTTAGAAGTTAGGTTGATAAAAAGCAGTAAAACTTATTGTATATAAAATTAGTGTATCAGCTTTGTTATAGTAGAAAAAGAGAAGAGATCGAATCTTCTGTGTAAGGTGACATTTTAAAGTGTCTTTGAATGACAGTTATCTGTGCTATTCTAGTCCTTTACCAAAGTTTGTGATTGAGCATACACTGTAAACTTAATCATTTGAAATTTGTAGTGGGATGAATTTTAGCCTAATTTAAAACATGATCTAGGCCCTAGCTGGGTTTGTTCAGTGGATAGAGCATCGGCCTGTGGACCAAAGGGTACCAGGTTCCATTGCCGTCAAGGGCATGTACCTTGTCGAAGGCTCCTCCCTGGCCCCAGGCCCTGGTTGGGGCTCATGCAGGAGCCAACCAATCCATGTGTTTCTCACACATCGATGTTTCTCTCTGTCTTTCCCTCTCTCTTCCACTCTCCTTAAAAATCAATGGGAAAATGTCCTCAGGTAAGGATTAACAAAAAAACATGATCTAAAAAAACAACACCACGAAAAACCCATGATCTAGTATGGAACATTTCATTTTTCTCTGCAAAATGTGTTTGTTTAATGTATATTCTTCATGTACAGAGGTTTTAGACATTATATAAAGATAATAAGTAGTTACTATACCTTTGATTTATTGATATTTTAAATTGTACAACCAGATCAGAAATCTGAATAATTAAATTTCTTTACCAGTTCTAAGTAAAGCATCTGTGCGGATCTGAGGTGCGGATCAGTTTGTAAAAACTCATATGAAGTTATGTTAGCAAGTTAATATGACTAAAGCAAAAATAATTTCATTCATTTCAACTTACATATTTTGAATGTATTTTTCAAGAACAAATATATATTTTAAAAATTTGAGCAAATGTGAACATTTTGAACTACTTTAGCCAAAAGTGTGAACTGTATGTGAGAAACAAATTAAGTAAACTTTCAGTCAGCTTAACAAGAGACAAATCAATCTTGCATTTCAGACTTAAAATAGGTTTTTTGTACCAATAGTGCAAAAAGTAAAAATTTATATATAAATCTTTTTTGCGGCTAATTTATTCATATTAAATTATAGAAATAAAATATTTCCTTTTTTCTCTCAACAATTTCCAAATAATAGTCAATTAATGATCAGTCTTCAGAGGAAACACTTTAGTAGTTCTGATGCAGTGTCTAAGAATCACTAGTCTAAAAATAATTTACTCGGTTGGGGTATCTGAACCTCTTTGGGAATCTTTTTAAAGCTGTGAATCCTTTTTCCAGAATTTTCATACATACAGAATTTAGCACATAGTAGCATGGATTTGGCAAAGGTCTCTGAAGCCCATTCCCAGGGATCCCTCAGGCATAAAGGATTGCAGGCTTTACAACTTGCCCTAGATAGCTTACTTATGTGGTTTTTCTTTAAACATTATATGTAGACTTTTCAAAAAATATTTGGCCATAATTTATTGTAGTTTGTTTGTTAGAAGAATAACTGCTGCTGCTGGTTAAGAGGAAGTGAAGTCTAATGGAAAGGCCAGTTCAGTCAAAAGAATCTTGGGGCCATAGCTTTTCTCCAGCTTGACTACCACACTACCTGTGTGACATTTGAGTAAGCCACTTAACCTCTGTTCCTGTGTGACTGCAAGCAGTTGATATCATGGTAACATTCTTTATCAATGTGGGATTGACTGCTGTTTTTTAAGAGAAATGCCTGGAGGTAAGGTGTGCCTCCAGGGTGCCTTTTTACTGAGTACAACTTTTCAGAAGAGTTTAATACTTTCTCAAATGCCATGTAAGTGATAGTTAACATCCCAATCCTGTCTGATCACTTTGAGTTTAAACATGATTTATATATTCTGTGTTGGAATTAGCGTCTCTAATTCTGTGGTTTGCTTTTTCATTCTCTTTTTTTTTAAATATATTTTATTGAGTTTTTACAGAGAGGAAGGGAGAGAGATAGAGAGTTAGAAATATCGATGAGAGAGAGACATCGATCAGCTGCCTCCTGCACATCTCCGTCTGGGGATGTGCCCGCAACCCAGGTACATGCCCTTGACCGGAATCGAACCTGGGACCTTTCAGTCCTCAGGCCGACGCTCTGTCCACTGAGCCAAACCGGTTTCGGCTGCTTTTTCATTCTCTTAATGTTTTTTTTTGTATGTGTGTGTGTGGGGGGGGGATTTAATGAACAGAAGTTCTAATTTAAATTTAGTCCAAATTATCAGGCTTTTCCTTTTCGTGATATTTTAAAATTGTAATAATTCTTAAATGTTTTTGTCCAAAGTCATTCATTGACAAATAATGCTGTGGGGGAATTGATGCATAACAAATTATCCCCAGCATGAAAAAACTAACAAGAAAAATAAACCTGCAACAGAGAGTTAAGGGTCCACTCAATGAATTCATTCATTTAACAAATATTTACTGAGCATTTGCTATGTGCATGGTACTATTTTAAGTGCTACAGAATCTGTAGGTATCCATAATGTTAAGAATCTACTCTTTAAAACTAAGATATTATTGACATATAACATTGTATTAGTTTTAGAAATACAACATAATTATTTGATATATGTATGTATTATGAAATGATTATTACAATAAACTTAGTTAATATCATCACCACACATTGTTAACAATTCAAAATTGTTAAGAATCCACTTTTTAATAACCATATTATTCTATAGATTTTTGCATGATTTTTCTTTTGTTTGAGAGTTTTTCTAATCTTGGTAATTGAAATTGCCATTTTATATGGACTTGAGAACTTTAAAAAAGTACTGCTACTAAAGAAAAGGCAGGATGGAACATTTTGGAAATGAATGTTAACTGCACAAATTCAGGTCCTTTAAATTACTATATGTTTGGTATGACTGCATATGATTAAATAAAAATTTTATAATCTGAATGACATGAAGACTTCTTGAAATATCCCTTGAGGAAATGAGACCATTATTGGAGTGACATCAGTCAACAAACGTACTATGTTTAAAGCATAAGGAGGGTATTTGTAGGTTTAGAGCATGGTATGTGGAGTTTAAATAATTTAATACCAAAATATTAGGGGGGAAGTTTAAATTTGTGTTTCCTAATTTTTTTTGAGAGAGAAAAATTTGGGGCAGGAAGAGTTAAAAGGATACAGTATAGCCTGGCTTGACTTTTCTCACCTTGAAGTCAACTTAATGAAATTTATTAATCTTTTGAAAACACAAATGATAAAAGCATCACTGAGAATTGGATTGGGATCCCAAAACCTTGGTTATTTTTCCCTGACTTTTTTTCCCACTGATTAAATAAGTGGCATAGAGAAAGTCACTTTTACATTACACTATAGGCCCAGTGCACAGATTTGTGCACTGGTGGGGGGCATAACCTGCAGGGATTGGCCCCTTGTGGGAGTGCTGCTCATCCTGGTCAGCGGAGCGGCACTCCCACTGTACAAGTGCACTGTCCACCAGGGGGCAGCTCCTGCGTTGAGTGTCTGAACCCTGGTCGTCAGTGCATGTCATAGTGACTGGTTGTCTGGTCGTTCCACCGTTCGGTCGCTGGGCCTTTATATATATAGATGGTTTATAGTCTAAAACAGTGAGACTTTAAGAATGTGAATGAAAAGTTTAGTTAAAATTATGGCTATACATATAAAATGCTGTGAATTTTAAAGCCTCATAGAAGAGAAGTCCATTTCAAGATTAATTGAAAAGAGGCCTTTTATGTAGATCAAACTAAGGGCCAATGATGTTAGCTCAATTTGTTAATATAAAACAACAAACAGTGAAGGTCATTTGTTGGGCATGAGAGTATATTTGTGTGTTGTTTAGATGAGGTGCATTTCATTTCTGTGTGTCTCTTAGGAAAGGAAAATCAACTTTTCCTTATCTTGAAAAAAGTGTGGAAAAGTGAAAAAACTGGAAAATTAGAGATTTAGCTGCTCTTGAATTCTTTCTTGCTGTAAAAACTACCTATCTCTTCCTTTCTTATGGGTTTTAGTGCTTTGGAGATTTTTGTGTGTTTTGTTTTTTTCTTCTTAAAATCAGAGATCTTTAGGTCTTCAGCTTTTGATGACATGTCATAAATCTGTGTTTGTCATCTAATTTCATTTTCCCCTTCTGTTATAGGGAGCAAGAGTGCTGAAGGAGGGCCAGTTTCCCCAAAATTGGTAAGTACTTTTGCCAGGCAGGCAAGGTGTTCCTGATGCTAGTTGGATAATAATTCAGCTGTTCAGTGAATTTTTGCAAAAAAGCTCTCTTTCCAGAAATGAGGCTTTGCTGTTTGCACCAAGTGAAAGTGAATTTTTGTCTAATTTCATATAGCAAAATCTCAAATGTGTTTGTGTTTCTAATAATACTGCTAGGCTTGCATGTTCCTGCATTCAATAACCTGTTAAAATGTAAAGGTCCCCTGTGTCAAAAATGTCCTTAATGCAGTGGTTAGAGCTGAAAATTCACAAGTCAGGAAATTCAAAAGTTAAGGTTCCCATTGTGTTTTGTATTACTTAATATGCTGTTAAATTTCCTGGCCTTAGTATATGTGCAAAATGGCCAGGTTAATGTAACTATGGGAACCTTGACTTTGAAATTTGGGACTCTTAAGCATTTATATATAGCTTAAACTTAATGTTAGATTGGCTTCATGATAGATATTACATTTTTAATGTGTGTTGTTTTGTATAATTCTTAGAGGAAAAAATTTAAAAAAAGAAATGTAGCAGTGTGGGGCATATAGGTAAACATTTTTTTTCTCTAATAACTACTTTAAAATCTACTTTAACAGCTTATAAATCATCACACTTAATCGTTTCTCTGAACGTCTAATTCAGAATCACAGATTGCTCAGGGCAGTCTAGTGACTAAGGATCAAAAAAATATTAACCTTATTTGGAGAGCATGTATTACGATAAAAAATTACATTCAAACAAGATAGCTGAAATAGGGTAGTCCCCTAATGCAAAGCTATCCTTTTTGATTTTTTTTGTTTTAATTCTCTCTCTCAAATAGTAATTAACTTAATGTGTGAAGTAGATATTTGGTTAAGGCTTCTTTTTGATAATTTAGGGTCCTTGAGGTGTCTTTCTTTCCTTGTAGGGATTGGGCTTTGAACATGAAAGGGAGGCATTTGAACCAGTTAACCTTGCATTTACTCCTTTTTATTTTACTTGCCTTTCTCTCATGGAATATTTTTAAATAAATCATCAAGACCCCAACGCCCTTTACTCTGAGATGTGATAGAATCATACAATCTTAGAAAAGAGGCCCTCTCTTCCAGCCCTTTACCCAATAGGGCAATTTCTTTTCCTATATCCCTAACAGATTGTTATTCGGATACATATTTAATATTACAGTTATTTAAAAATGTAGCTCATTATTTTCTTTAATGTATTCTGAGGAACTCTAGTTCCACAGAAATGAATAAATATTACTGAGGTTGGGTGGGGGTAGGAAAATGTTCTGTAGTCAAATAATTTAGGAAATGCTGCATTAAAGTTAAACAGGTTTCTTTACTGCAGGACTTCTCAGAACCTTTAATATGCTAATGTGCATTGTGAATCTCCAAGAGGGGGATATGATATGCAGCATTCTTGAATACTTCTAATGACAGGGAGCCCACTACCTCATAAGGTAACCCATTCCTTTTTTGTACAGCTCTAATCCTTAGCTCTTCCTTAAATTGATCTGAAATCTATCTCCCGTATCTTCCACTTCTATTAAGTACTTACTGGTTATGCCAAGACTGCCATATCCTCTGTGTTAACCTTTGTGTAGCAAATATGTATATGATTCTGGCCACACTTGTCTGGACTATTTTTTTTTGTCATTAAATAGTATTCTGGTAAATGTGGCAACCAATTCTAAAATTTTAGCCTCATTGTCACTATGCTCTTATACACTGATCTCCAGCCTTCTTCGTTTTGAATTTCTGTGAATTTTTAAATTTACGTCAACATTCTGATTGGGTATAGTTAGGATGATTTTAGTAAACATGCTTGATTTCTGTAAAGAAAAGTGGGAAATAGAAGAGTGTGTGTGTGTGCCAGCTAGGCCTGGGCCCAGGAAGCTGAGGTAGAAACGGGATGTTGGAATGAACGCTGGTGGTAAGGAGAGGTGCAGGACACTGCCCCAGACCTGGGAAGGAGGGTGCTGTGGGGATTTCACCTGACTCAAAACACTCACGCCCTTGGGTTGTAATGGTATGATCTGTGTCAGTATTACTTTTTTTTTTTTAAATGAAGACCTGGCCTCCTCCTCCCAAAAAAACAAATGGGGAAAAATGTATATTTTGTTCCTCAAGCACATTCAGACACTCAGATAATCATAAATCTAGGGGTGTGTGTGTGTGTGTGTGTGTGTGTGTGTGTGTGTATGTGTGTGTAGAAATTTAGCTTAATGGTTAGGAAATACCATCTTACTAGCTGAAGTGATTTTTGTCAGCAGTATACCAGGATTTGAATATAGTAAACTTTATAGTCTGAAACCTCTAAAATCAAGATGTCCAGCTCTGTGCAGGAGCACTTTTTTGTTGTTGACCTGTGGAGTGGTACCAAAGAGCTACCACCATAAAAACAACAATAACAGATATCACATTGGGTTTTTATATCATTTTTATTGATTCCTGTTAGTAAATGTTAGTTTTCAATAAGTATTACTAAAATAATTTTATTATTTTTAGCACCCATGATAATTTTTAGCGCTATTAGTTAAAAGTTATTGTTTTATCTCCTAACATGTTAGATACATAGTATTTTGCACAAATTAAAACCTGATATTCTAGTAGTAAGCATGTGACAAGTAAGGATACATTGATCTGTCAAGACTTTCTACTTTTTATATTTAAAAAAATTATACCTACTTAAAACACTGTTCTGAGATGATAGATCAAAAGTGAAGTCTTACACCAAGTATCTCTACAGTATAGAGAACACAGAGTTAACCGTTTCTAGGGAATTCAGTCTGGGGGCACAGTGTATTATGGACTTACTGTTAGTTAAAGAAACTTTGTTGACAAGTGGAGTTTTGATTGATAAAGGGTTTTTAAGCAGTTCAGGAACAGAGCAGTGTTTCTTAGCAGTGAATTCAAAGTTACAGCATGACAACTTTATTAGAATCATAATGAAAGACCTGGCAGTCACATATCTCCAAGCAGAACTGTACCCAGAAAAATAGTTGGGAAGCCTTTTTTTGAAAAAAAATTTTTATTGTTTAAAATATTACGTAAGTCTCCTTTTCCCCCCATTGACCTCTCCCCGGCTGCCCCCACTCCCCAGCACATGCCCTCACCCCCCTACCGTCTGTGTCTATTGGTTATGCTCATATGCATGGATAAAAGTCCTTTGGATGATCTCTTACCCCCTCACCTCCCGCCCCTCAAACCTCCCCGGCCTTCCCGCTGCAGTTTGACAATCTGTTTGAGGCAGCTCTGCCTCTGTATCTATTATTGTTCAAAAGTTTATAAAGGTCTCAATTATCCATGAATGAGTGCGATCATGTGGTATTTTTCCTTCATTGACTGGCTTATTTCACTTAGCATAATGCTCTCCAGTTCCATCCATGATGTTGCAAATGGTAAGAGTTCCTTCCTTTTTCTAGAGCAGCATAGTATTCCATTGTGTAGATGTGCCACAGTTTTCTAATCCATTCATCTACTGATGGCACTTAGGCTGTTTCCAGAAATACTTTTTTTAAAAAAAAAAAAATGTTTCACAGTGGCTGCACCAGGGTGCATTCCCACCAGCAGTGCAAGAGGGTTCCTTTTTCTCCACATCCTCGCCAGCACTTGTTTGTCGATTTGTTGATGTTAGCCAGGAAAGCCCTTTTTTAGAAAATTTAAAAATAGGAAAGCATACTATCCTCTCAGCAATCTAATGTGTTGAGAGGTTTATAAAAAAGTTATGTGCCTGAATAGAAGCACTAAGTTGTTAGGAATAGCATAGAACCTTACAGTTTACAAAGGGCTTTTCACATGGTATTTACCTCAAACAAACCTCATACCATTTTTATGAAGTAGCACTGTTTCCATTTTCCTGATTTATAAGCAAGCAAACATACAAACAAATTTTAAAAACCCTGAGGCTGAGAGTGATTACATGGTAAGTGGAATCAGTTTTTTTTGTTTGTTTTTGGGGACAGACAGTGTTCTTTCCAGACATCACAGCTGCCTTTCTCAGTGAGACTTGATTATTGTTTTGAATGGTTGGTGGGTGGAGTTTTTATTTGTCTATGTTTCTGGTTTTTTATTATTTGAAGGTGAGAGGCTATTAGGTGTCCCAGTGGTTTGATATGTATAGTTTTGAAGATAACAAATGTTGATATTTTGTGCCAGGCAATTGTCCTTTCTGATGGTGGCATTTAGAGCTGTTGGGTGGTGAAAGGCATTGTACTTCAATAAAATGTGTCTATTACTATTTTGTGAAGCTGTTTATTTGTACCTACAACTTATTTGTTATTTAGAACTCATTAGAGTTGGTCAAAGTATGATAAATCATCTTTTTCAGATTTAGCAAAATCATATCTTCTTTATGATGCTATAAACTGCCCCGAAATGGTCTTCACATGACGGCTGCATGAGTTGTCTAAGCCCCCAAAATATTTTAAAGAAGGATTCAACATGTGCTTGCATTGTTTTTGTAAGCTATAAATATATGTATATAATTTGTTCCTTTAGGCAGAGACCAATCTCTTAAAATTGCTATCCACAATGAGCCCTTTTGAAGAAGGATATCAAATATATCTTCTAATCCCCCATAAATTTTTCTCTATGACAGGTCACTACCTTTTTAACCCTTCTTTTAAATGTTTATTTTGAAATAAAATGAGTAATTAGCCTTTAGAGTTCTTGACAAATAAAATGTGTGTCTGTGGATCTCTAATAAGTAGACAACAATCTGATGAAGGAAGTAAAAGCTGTCAGCTCCTCAGTAACGTGAGCTGCAGGCTTCTTATCCTGCCAGGCACTCTGACATTTAGAGCCTCCATGTTTTACTTTTTCGTTTCCTGAACATTTTATTTCCTCAGTGTAAAAGTTTCTGATGCTTTATCTAGCATTCTTCAGTTAATTTTTTGTTATTTAAAAATAAGTGCATATTTTTAAATAGCAAAATATAGAAAATTTTGAAATTTTTATACTCTGAAAATAAGAAAGTAAATAACCCTTAGTACTACCCCCTCCCAGAGATAACCAGTGGCAAATTATGAAAGTGCCACCTGACCCAAACTCTAGAACACTCATGGTATTACTATTTTATAAGTCTTTGTCAGTTTGATAGACAAAACTTATCTTCTTAAGATGTACACTTCAATGACTATTGAAGGTGGGTGTTTTTCATGTTTGTTGATAGCTGTTATTTCTTCGTTAGTGAACTGCTTTTTTAGTTTTTAAAAATTAATTTGTGAGCATTCTACCTGTAAAATATGTTAACTCTTTATTGTTTATATTCTAAGTCCTCCATGTTTTTAACTTGCTGTTTGTATGAGTTGAGTTGAGCTATGACATTATATGTTAACTACCAATAAAATAAAATATGGCCTTTCTATTGTTGAAAATACCCCTTTAACTTCAAGATGATTTTTAATTTGACAAACATTGTGATCATTTTTGGATACATTTTCTGTAAAATTAAAACTAATTTAAGTACTGTTTTCAGGAAGAACTTGAGTATGTAAGTCAAGAATTTTAGTAGAGAGATTATTTTAGTATTTAAAATGGAAATGGCTGTGTAGTTTTAACATGTGAGTTTATATGTAATGTAAACTTACATAACAAAAACCTTGGTCTAAGTCAGTAACTTAATGATTCTTTTGTTTGTTTGTTTATTTATTTATTATAGTTCCAAAGATTTTCTAAGATAATAAGTAGCTGAAAAGCCCAGGTTTGTTCATCAAAGTATGTCTTCTTTTCCAAATTATATCCCCTAAACATATCATCTTTATAAAATTTTTGGTTGATAATATTATTGTACAATAATCCTTTTCTAGCCTCCACAAGTGAGTTTGAAGGAATTTTACACTTTTGAAATTTATTGTTATTTTAAGTTAGAGTATTTTTATGCTACAAAGCAATGTATAAGCCCTAGGGGAGAGATTGTCAGTAGTGATGTTTTAAGCCTAGTGAGGTTAAGCAAATATAATAAAAACTAATATTGACAACTATATAGTCTATAGTTAATGATTTTATTATAACTGTCAAATCAGGTTTTAAAGAAGTTTTAAGAAAATGTAGGTTTACAATGGACTTTGTCCATAGATAAATAATTTGTAAAAAGTGTAAAGATTATGAATCTCATTGACTTGGTTTAAGGAGTAAAGCTTATTTTAGCCTCCTGATTGTTCCCTTCTCTATTTTTAAGAATGCTGAAAAGTTGCCCTAACTACAAGTTTTATAGGTACAAAGACGAAAAGTTTAAATTTATTCAGACAGAAGCAAACTTTGCTTTGGGAGAGTACCTAAAAATCATGTCAAAAGCTACATGCAAGAAAAAAGAAAAAATATTAAAAGAGAAATTAGCCACTGAGTTAACTTAAATTGCAGTTGTGAGGAGCGGAGCAGGATAGGAAGATTCACATACATACATCTAGACTTTTGACATTTCTCCACGTGCAGTTATGCACATAGCCAAAGAGATGCACTCAGCCTCCAAAAGAAGATAGTGTTCGTTGTAAAGCTGGAAACGTCTGTTCCATTGCTAGACCATCTCATCTGTTGTGCACAATAGATTTATTTTTAATACTGCTTTTATAACTTTGTGGAAAACAGTTACATTGCCTTGTCTTTGTGTAAAGTATTAAATTTGTTGAATGTAAACTTCAGTGAAGTTTTCCCATTTTCAGTTTTTAAATTTTTTTAAAATACAGTACAAGTTCAGCCAAATGAAAGAAGTACTTTGGCCTTCTGTAACCTCTGAGAGATCCTTAACTTTCCAGTTCCCTCTTTGTGATGTTTAAAAATGCATGACCCTGTTGTTATATGTCTCTTTCTAAAGAAAGAATGTGAAGTGAGTCTTGGATGATTGTATTCTCCGCCTCTAAATCCCCAACTCTTTTAGGGCAGAGGGGGTCTTGTTGAGCTCTGTATCCTCAGAATTTAGTGTGTAGTATGGTACTGAGCACGTAGTAGGTGCATAGCTGTTTTCATGACCAGGTTAAACACTGATTTTCTCCTTTCTTACTTCTTTGAAGTGTTCTGTAGTGTAGAGGAATGTTCAAATAATAAAACCCAGAAAGTTTTTTTTATCAATTCAATACAAAAATACTCGTTTTGAAAAGAATTCTGTTTGGGAAATTTCTTGTCCTGTGCTAGAGAATCAAGTATTTTTCAACTATTATAAATGTATTTAACATGAATATTTCCTTTATACCTAACATAATGATCCAAAACATTGATTGATCTCTGCAGCTGCAGTGAGAAGAGGAGTTTGTTATTTTAAACGGAGGCTGAAGAAACTATAGAATTAGCAGACATAAGAGAAAGTGGAGAAGGTGGAGGATGGAGTTGCAGACTCTACAGGAAGCTCTTAAAGTGGAAATTCAGGTTCACCAGGTATGTTGCATTATTGTCTTCTTCCACGTCATGTTATTAAGTAATGGTTAAGATGAGTAAACAGACCCATCTCTGATTTTTAGTACAAATTGTTAATCATCTTTCAGACAGTTATTGCCCAACAGTCATGCCATTTGCTTTTTATCATTACTCAATAAACTCATTGATAATACTTTTAAGAACTTCAGTGAAATATTCCTGATTTCCTTTATACAGAAATGAACCACAAATATTTTTTTATATACCAAAGGCATTAAAAAAGAATTTTCTTCTGGGGTGATTTTTTTTGTTTTGTTAATCTGAGGGGCTTTGTTCATGTGACTTATGACTTGTATATTTTAAATGAGACATGTTTGACTTGACTACCTTGTATGACAAAGTTTTTACTCATTTACTTTTGTACCTCTATTCTAGTCATTAGTAAAGAAAATGTGATTACTTTCACAGATGTTTAAATTTCACAATTCTTACATTTTACCTCAGGTACTTAGGCTAAACCATTAAAATATAGAAATTAAAAAATATATCTGATTATATTTATATGACAATAATTTTGATAAAATACATTGTATACTAAATATAATTTATATATTAAGTGTATAGACTATTTTATTTAATATAACTAATATAAAAAGCTATCCTTAAATAACTAAATCATTAACATTTTTGTATAAACAGAATATCACTGTTTTATATCTTTCTGTATTCTATACATTATCTGAATGTGGTACTAGGTTAAGACATACACATATGTAATGTTTGGTTAATAAAAAGTGATAAATGACGATGAATTAAATACTTTTGAATCTTTGGAGTGTTGGAATAGGAGAAAGGAAATGTTTTTTAGAGGTATTTGTTCTTAGGTATGTTTTCCTTTGTTTTATGTGACTAGTCTAATGTAAGGTTAATTTCTGAAATTGTTGGAAGAACACGTTGGGCTTTTGGTAACTACTGAATTTGCAAGTTGCTCAGAATTAATGGAAGAGAATTTATAGGAAAGCTTCAAAAGTATATATAATTTATACATGTATATATAGAGACACAAACACACACATACTTTTTGCTTTGTCTCTGTATGTCCTGCTACTTTGGATCTTGTTAAAATAAACTCTTGCTCAACAGTAGTGTTATAGTTTGCTGTGTACAGGCAGGTTTCTCTGTGTGAAGTGTATTTTGTTTTTATGGTAACTTTAAGAAATTTAGTGTGTAATAAATAAGTTATCTATTTCAATTTAGTTTATAATAAAATAAGCACATTTTGTTTTATTTGGCTTTGCTTCTGTTACAAATGGAGGAGAATAAAATTTGTTTACAAAAACAAGCTTGTCTTTTCCTGGACAAAAGTATTTTTTAAAAATATATTGTTTTATTGATTTCAGAGGAAGGGAGAGAGAAAGAAACATTAATGGTGAAAGAGAATCATTGATTGACTGCCTCTTGCACCCCCCACACTGGGGATTGAGTCTGCAACCCGGGCATGTGCCCAGACTAGGAATTGAACCCTGACCTCCTGGTTCATGGGTCGACGCTGAACCACTGAACCACGCTGGCCGGGCTGGACAGAACTTTTTTAACATGGAGGTGTGCTGATACCCAATTTGGCTGTATGGCAAATGATGACAGTTAAGTTCACAATTTGTTCGAAGCTGACTTCCTCATAGAATAAATTTCTAGAAAACAGTAATCAGTCTGAAAGTTGCATGCATCAGAGATAATATAATGAGGTTGTATGTAATTTTTGGAAATATTCCTCCTCTCAAGAAATTTTGAGATGACAAAGTTGATATTCTGCTTTTAGTTCATCCTCACAAGATCGGAACAAATCCCAATAAGATTTTCATGAAAGACTCATGACCTAAATTGAACTAAATTACTAAAAATTAAGTAGAGTTTTAAAATATTATTTTGTTTCATGTTTTAACTCAAGCATACCAGTTTTATGAAAATAATTATGAAAAAATTTAATGCTTAATTTTGTTTTAAAATTTAATTTACATTTTAAAATTACATTTGTTGACTCAAAAGGGATATAAAATTCTTCAGAAAGTTATCCCAAACACTATCTTAATATTCACATTAACTATCTATGTTATATATTTATTTTTTAGCATAAATTTAATAGCATTTATATTCATCCTTTAGTATACATTTTGTTTTTGTAATAATAAACATTTATTGATAGTATTTTAACATATACACTCTATAAGGTATTTTTATTCCAGTTACATTTAGAATACTTTCCTCTCTTTTTTTTAACTCTTCTCTTTAAAAAAAAATTAAGTTTTATAAATAAATCCAAGTGACATGCCTTGTTTGTAAATTGGATGTTGTTGTTCTGATGAGATATGTGTAACCTGCATGATCACCGATCATGACAAGTTCAGGGATGCCAGGAATGACACCAAAGTAGGCACTGGCTCTTAAGCTAGGGCATAGTTCGCCCCTTGGTGCATTTCTAGTTATGGGATGAAGTTAGAGCTGAGGTTGAGCTCACTGGATAGGAAGTATGTTATGAAACTAGCTGGTATTGTGTCACAGAAATACATTTTTGTTTTTTATGGGTATGGAGACGGTTTAAAAGTAGCAATGTGCACATGTTTGATGTTGGATAAATGTTTAAATAATAATGGCTTGTGATGGGCATCTCATCCTTTTTTGAGAAATTGCCTTTTTGATGATTCTTATGCAGAATTGATAAAAGCCATATTTAAACTTTCAGAATATTTACTCTACATGGAACAGAAGAGTATAAAGCAGAAGTTAGCAATATTTTCTGTAAAGGGCCAGGTAGTAAATGAATATATTTTATACTTTGTAAGTCACTTATGGTTTCTGTCACAACTACTCTGCTCTGCTGCTGTACAGACAAAGCAGCCGTAGACAATATATAAATGAATGGGTATGGCTGTGTCCCATGTAAAACTTTATTTACAAAAACAGGTGGATGGCCAGATTTGCCTGTGGGCTGTAGTTTGCCAACCCTTAGTATAAAGTATATCCTCATGAAAAATTATATTCTTTAAATTTTGTTTTATTGCTTAAAATATTACAAAGAGTAGTACATATGTCTCCTTTTCTTTTTTCCCTTGACCTGGCCTTCCCCCGGCCTCCCCTAACCCCCAGTGTCTTGTGTCCATTGGGTATGCTTATATGCATGCATACAAGTCCTTTAGAAAGTAACCTAAGTTTGATAACACAGTGTCAGCTTAAAGTCACTAGGGATTTGGATGGTCTAGTTAAGTTGCCCAGCGTGTTCAGTCCTGCCTCTGATGATGTAAAATGCAGCTTGACTGCTTACAGATAGAAAAGTTATTTCCTCAGAGGTGGAGACTTAGTGTGGTTATCAGTCAGCTTTTAAATTCTAGTGTCGTGGAAGAAAATCCGTTTTAGCTTTAAAAAGGCAATTTTAGTATAGTTGTCAACTCTGTGGTAATCAAATAGAAAGGAAAACCAAATTGAAGAGTGTGGTCAGCCTTTAAGCGGTGTTAGTCAAAATGCATATGTATAAAAGCCTTGCTGTTCAGTTTCACTGAGCTCTTGGAATGTGTGTTATTACTATTTTGTTATTAAGACCAGGATACACAAGAGTTACTACTGTCACATGTGTAGTAACATGTATAGTAACATACATACCTTGTGTATTTGGAGGTCACATGGTTGGCAACTTCAGCTTTCTAGAATGTAGCTCAGCATGTGAAGTAAGGCTTTTGACCAACTAGAATAAATGTTAGAAGTCATTTACTGAAGATGATACAATAAAAGCTGACAGGTTTTTTAAAATATTTTTTAAATTAATTTCAGAGAGAGAAAAGGGCAGGGAGAGAGAGAGAAACATCAATGCTGAGAGAGAATCATTGATTGGCTGCCTCCTGCATGCCCCCTACTGAGGATCGATCCCACAACCTAGGTATATGGAATGGAACCTGGAATGGAACCATGACCTCCTGGTTCATGGATCAACGCTCAGCCATTGAGTCACATTGACGGGGCCACAAAGCTAACAGTTTTAAATGTAAGAAGGTAGATAAGTATATAATACATATTAGATTTTATTTTATGACTAACAAAATTTAAAAGTGCCTTGTTACCCAAAAGAGGGACAGATTTTTAGTTATATGGATTCACTTGGGAAACAGCTTATTTCCAGATAACTTTTAGGAATCAGCTTTCTGATATACCTTTATCTTTCAGGTTCTCCTCTCACTGGTTATGGTTATCTTTGGACAGTGATGCTTTTAGAAGTTGGGTTAGATCAGACAGCATCCAGTTTTCTTTGTTTTTCATTTGTTTGGATTTCTGTTTTCCTTAGTAAAGGTCTTTCTCATTCAATATTCTGGTAGTACTTTCTTTCCCAGAGGAACCCAGGTAGGTAGAGTTTTGCATTATTGTTCCTTCACTTCTTTACTCTCAAATACTGAGCCTCATTGCCCCACTGAGTACATCCCATCCCCCCCCACCCCCCGGCCTGCATGGAGAAGACAGTGGCAAAGTCAGATCTGACACTGGGCTCCTCTGCACTGTGCTGTATCTGACAGGCCTGTTCTGTATGGGAGCAGCTTCTTTGTAGGCCTTATTTAGGACTCTACCCAATGACAACTTTTTAAAGAGATGTTCGGCTTATGGAGCATACAGCTTGTTTAAATTGCCTTTTAAACTCCGCTCCCCACCCTCATCCCATTTTCAGATTTGTTAAAAAGCAGGAGCATTTCATTTCAAATATAAAGCGGTAGTTTGATTCTCCCCCCTCCCCCCTATATTAAGAGGAGTGTCTTATTAACCTTTTATATAGATCACAGAAGCTTTTTGTTCTGATTGTGGTATTGCTCATTTTTGTGGGTGTGTGAATCATAAAACTCTAGATTTGGGGGGGCCAAACCTGATTTGCCATAGTGAGTTAATATGGAAGACTGATGGCTCTTTTTCTCTTTATTACCAGAAACTGGTTGCTCAAATGAAACAGGATCCACAGGTAAAATACTATTTTAATTCATTTAATTTTTAAATTAAAATAATGTAAAGCAAAGTGATCATAAAAATACTAAAATATAGACCAGTACATAAGTTTTTAAAAACTATCTTCTCTCACAGCAGTTATATTAGCATATTGGTCATATGTTTTAAGGGTTTACAAAAATCCAGTTATTATAATATAGCTATCATTTCATCTTTGTTACTATTACTTGCTTTTGTGTTAATTGCTTTGAGTATTTTGGGGGGAAAGTTGAGAGTTTAAATTTCATTTCTATAAGCCCACTTACTCAAAATCAATTTGTGAGGCTTTCTGTAATCTCACAAGTATGGAGTAAAACCTAGAACCATTCTTATTTTCTCAGAGTTTATAGTAGAGATATAGTACAGAACATTTAAATACTTAATCACACTATATTCAGGGTAAGAATTTTAGAATACGTTTTAAAAAGCATTTAATTTTTTTAAATTTTTGAAAGAGCCCTTAATCCAGCAAGTGTTAATTTTTTAAAAAAATTCTCATAGGAGTTTTAAAAAAATATTTTTTTATTGATTTCAGAGAAGAAGGGAGAGAGAAAGAGAAACCTCAATGATGGGAGAGAATCATTGATTGGCTGCCTCCTGCAAACCCCACAATGGGAATCGAGCCCACAACCCAAGCATGTGCCCTGACTGGGAATTGAACCGGTGACCTCCTGGTTCATAGGTTGATGCTCAATCAGTGAGCCATGCCAGCTGGGCTCTCATAGGAGTTTTTGATTTAGACATTTTATTCTCTATCCCTGAAGAGAAATCTTCCTAGAATGTTATCTTGTCTTTCATGATTGTATTTATTTTTCAGGCAATGTCTCTTTTGCAGCCTTAGACAACAGGTCATAAGTGTGGAGAGTACAGACTCTCTTAGGATTCCTCCCTTGTATTTGTTGACTCATGATCTGGTCACAAAACAACTAAACCCACTGATGGGTACTCAGATGTATGTGTATACATCTTTAGCTTGTTAGCATACCATATATGCCTCATTGTAAATTTAAGTAAAATAAATTCTTGAACTGAGGAATGGTACTGAGGCAGATAGATTTTTGGAAGTAGGAATAATAGTCATTTAAAAAATTTTGTACCCAGTGCTTTAACACAATCCATTGATAGCCCACACTTAATTTCTATTTGACATTTGAACTTTGAGAAGCTTCTTCATGTTTATTTATTTTTAAAAGATATTATTTAAATTAGATTTAGGGAACCAGGATATAGACCTTAGATTAATAGATTCTTTTATATTTAATATGGTAACCTTTATTATCAGCAACTGAAATATTATTAGAAATCGTTAGCATTTCCCATAGAGCTGGTGGCCAGGTAACAGCAGTCTTAATGCAAAAAAATCCAAGGGAGCAGTAAGTTGTTGGGCAATCTTGTGGGTGATTTCATTATATATCTATAATAATAAAAGCGTAATATGCTAATTAGACCAGACATCCTTCCGGGCAACCTTCCAGACGAAGCCGGGGCTGCAGCCATGGCTGCGAGGGATCCAGGTAGCTGCACAGCTGCGAGGAAGGGATCCAGGCAGCCACCACAGCTGCGAAGGCCTACTCTTGCACAAATTTTGTGCATCAGTCCTCTAGTGTGTGTGTGTGTGTGTATCCTATATAATAAAAGGCTAATATGCAAATCGACCGAATGGGGGAAAAACTGGTCACTACGATGCGCACTGACCACCAGAGGGCAGACGCTTAGTGCAGGAGCTGCCCACTGGTGGTCAGTGTGCTCTCACGGGGGAGCGCCACTCAGCCAGAAGCTGGGCTCACAGCTGATGAGCACAGCAGCAGTGGTGGAGCCTCTCCCACCTCCGTGGCAGCGCTAAGGATATCCGAGCGGTCATAAACCATTAGTTGGACATCCCCCGAGGGTTCCTGGACTGCGAGAGGGTGCAGGCCAGGCTGAGGGATACAACCCCCCTCCAGTGCACAAATGTCGTGCACTGGTCCTCTAGTATATTTATATATATATGTGTACACACACACACACACACACACACACACACACACACACACATTAGAGGCCCAGTGCACAAAAATTTGTGCACTTGCCAGCGTGCACCTTCTCACCATTTGGGACCCCTTGGGTAGGATCCCAAGGCCTGGCCTGAGATCAGGGTCTCTCGGGGCTTTCCTTCCCAGGCTGCAGGCAGCTGGCCCCACCCCTGCTGCTGCCACTGCTTGCCATCTGTGCAGCGCTGTCTCCCCCTCCCCCTGCCACCAGTGGCCTCCCTCTGCAGGTGACAGGCATGGGATGCAATGGCTTGGCTGGCCCGGGCTTCCCTCTGCAGGGCGATCACTGGCCGGCCGCACACCTGCCACAGAGTCGCCGCCGGTGGCCTGGGCCTCACTCTTCCTTTGCTGGGGGATGGGGCCAGCCCTGCGAGGGACCATCTGCCTACCAGATCACCCTTAACTACTTGCTGCCTACCTTATCACTCCTAAATGCCTGCTGGGGGGTGGGGTCAGCCCTGTGAGGGTGCATCTGCCTACCTGATCACCGCTAACCACTGGCCTGCCTACCTGATTGCCCCTAACCACTCTGCCTGTCTGCTTGATCACCCCTAACTGCTTGTTGGGGGGTGGGGCCAGCCCAGGGAGGGGCCACCTGCCTACCTGATCACCCCTAACCACTGGCCTGCCTACCTGATCATTGCTAACCACTTGCCTGCCTACCCGATCACCCCTAACTGCTTGCTTGGGGGCGGAGCCAGCCCGGGGAGGGACCGTCTGCCTACCTGATCACCTCTAATGGCTGGTCTGCCTACCTGATCACCCCTAACCACTCTACCTGCCTGCCTGATTGCCCCTAACCGCTTGCTTGGGGGCGGGGGCAGGGCCAGCCCAGCAAGGGGCCATGGTGGTTCTGGTTTCTGGTGGTTCTGGTTGTTACACTTATGGTGGCTGGCCTTTTATTATATAGGATACACACACACACACACACACACACTCACTCACACACACACACTCACTCACACACTCACACATTCTTATTTAAAAAAGACCACGTGTCGTAATCATGAGAGGAAGGATGTGTGCCCCAACCTGATAGAAGACCAGGCAGGGCTAATGGAAAGAATTGCATGTGAGATGATGAAGAAAAAGTGATCTCTCATTGGGGTGGTGTTCAATCTGCTAGTAGGCTATCCAATATTAAGCATTAATCTTGCTTTTTAAATCTTGGATTTTTTTTGTTTCACTTGAGTAAAACGCAAACATATTCAGTGTATCTCATCTCAAATAGTATTCTTTTTTGAATCCTAGAATTTGAAAACTGAGAGAATGCCCCACTTGAGTAAAACACAAGCATATTCAGTGTATCTCATCTAAAATAGTATTCTTGCCCTGACCGGTTTGGCTCAGTGGATAGAGCATCGGCCTGCGGACTCAAGGGTCTCAGGTTCAATTCCAATCAAGGGCATGTGCCTTGGTTGTGGGCACATCCCCAGTGGGGAGTGTGCAGGAGGCAGTTGATTGATGTTACTCTCTCATCGATGTTTCTCACTCTCTATCCCTCTCCCTTCCTCTCTGTAAGAAATCAATAAAAAATATTTTTTTAAAAAAATAGTATTCTTTTTTGAATCCTAGAATTTGAAAACTGAGAGAATGCCCTGGTAGTCGCTGTGTTCATTTGAATGATACAGTGTCAAGGCATTTGTGGCACTGAGAGCTTTTCAAATCTAGGCTAAAATAACAAATGCACTCTACTAAATAAGGAAGAGGCAAGGCAAAGATACTTACAACTTCCATTTTCCTGTTTTTGTCTGATTAGTGGAGCTTTGGGTTTTCTGTCAAAGAATAAAAATATTTTTAGTAGAAAGATGTACTATTTTACATATGCTAAAATATAAAACCTCTTATAATTTAAAGCAATTGCAAAGGAGCTGCCCAGGTTCTAGTGTTAGGAGCCTACATTTAGGATCTATGCATTAGGTAGTGGTAATGTGACTACAATTTAATGCATGATGAATTTGATTGGCTAAAATGCTTAAGTTTGCTTCATCATTTGTAATGCAATATGCATTAAGTCTTCTTGCTACTATTCTGTTAACAAATGAAATATCTTTCTCACAGATATTTTTTCTTTCCAATCAGAATGCTGATTTAAAGAAACAGCTTCATGAACTCCAAGCCAAAATCACAGCTTTGAGTGAGAAACAGGTAGGGGAAAAAGGAGTGTGTGG